TTACTTAACGTACTAGTTTCATACCAATGTGTAGATGTGTATAAAGTGATAATCTAATGAATATTTATTTAACATTTAATAGTATATTCTTTAAGGAGTTCTTATGAGCAACTTCACTTGCACTGCATATTACATAAAATAAGAATTTATGAGAGAATTATAAGGTCAGTGTGTTTGTGTTTGGTATTTGAAATGTTTAAACCATGTCCACAGGTGTTAGTGGATTCATTTATTGTACCAATACTTTATGCTAGAGATGTTAGGATTGACTGCAAATGGTAAACAAAGAAAGCAGTTAGCTAAATATTATGTGATGTTTAAGTAGAAATAGAAAACACGGAAAGTCCTTCAATAAACTTTGGTACCGTACAACAGATCCAAAGTGTATCTAACAACCTCTATGTGCCCAAAGTAATTTTCTCTTTGCATTCTTTAAAAGACAAAAATATAAAGGTAAGAAAACAAAGTCAGAGAAACATTATTAAACAATTTCTGAAACTAAGAGAATAAAAGTGAATACTTGTGTTTCACTTCATACTTGTACACTTTCTGTACATCATGATTAGTCTTTAATGTAAGGTGAATCTTGCATTTAAAACTGTTTTATGAAGCTAACACTTGTCATTTGTAGGGTTAAACAAATTTAAATTCACTGCTACCTAGTATTCTCAACATTATTTAGCAGCACCGTGCTTGATTTTTTATCAGAATTATAACGACAAGAACCGTAGATGTTCTTGCACCATTTTTAAGTAAAAAATTTTTGCCATATTAAGTAACAAAATTTATAAAATCTTTTTACTGTAAAGTTTGATTTGAATTTAAGTACTAAAATGATGATTTTTTTCCAAATATAAAGATCATTGTAGTATTAATTAGTAGTAATGGTAAACTTATGTAGGTGTAAAGATCATTGTAATATTAATTAGTAGTAATGGTAAACTTATATAGGTGTAACGATCATTGTAATATTAATTAGCAGTAATGGTAAACTTATATAGGTGTAACGATCATTGCAATATTAATTAGTAGTAATGGTAAACTTATGTAGGTGTAAAGATTGTTGTAATATTAATTAGCAGTAATGGTAAACTTTAGTTTAACTTTATTTTCATAAGATTACATTGTGTTTTTTATTTATATTTTGTTTACATTGTTTATTCGTTAACTGTTTTAGCACTGTTCTTCTCATGAAATTACCAAATGTTCATGCTGTCTCTTCGGTCGTCATCTAGCTTTCTGTAGTTATAATGTTGTTAACCTTTCATAGTTGTTCGTATTATTTTCTCTGGCTCACAGCTACCTTTCAGTTTTAGAACCAAACATTTAAAAGATACGTTTTACATAAGAACTAGACCTTGATGCTGATTTCACTCAGATTTAACCTCTTTAGGTTTCAGAATAAACCAGATATATTTTCACCACATTTTAATCCATATTTAATATTTCCACCTATATTAAACTCATCTAAATTATTTCTACCCTTGTGTTGATCACATATCATATTTAGAGGAAAAATAGAATTCAATTTTCTTTA